TCGCGCGATTCGCAAAGCATGACATCTGCCTCAATCGGCATTCAATGGACCTAATCTGTTGGAACCTGAAAAATTTAACGAAAAATACCGTATCTTTTCACATTGTACATGCTAAATACATTCACTTTATAGTCTCAGTGTCGCAGTGAGAGCGCTTCTGCATTCATTCGAATGGGATCAGTTCGCAGTGATTTATTCAGATTACGGTTCTATTGATACTGCTTGCAGTACCATGAAGAGTGATATAGAGGTAGGTTGAGTAAGAGAGGTCAGAAAGCTACATAAATTTGATTTGAATAGACGTTTTGTGCCATGAAAACAATGTTACGAATTTTACTGATTAACACAGCGATAATATAAAGGGCGGAAGTGATGCGATTTCCCATCGCTCGATCCTCTGATCGGCCCCGGCTCGGATCATGATTTCTTCAGAGCCTGAAAAAGCTCAAAGGCACATGAATAGCTATCGCCCGAACATAATTTCAATCTACAAAAGTCATTTGACAGGATTGTGAACTAGACGGTATCATAGATAAGTTAGGCCTCTATCTGTGAATATCGACCTGGAAGGATCTCTTGTCGCCCCGAGTTGAAGAGGCGGCTCAAAACATCAGCCCAACAAATCGCTCCTCATGATCTCCTTTATATGCTGAATTATTCTAAAATCTGTGCTGAAAGGAAAATGCCGAGATTCACAGAGAGCCGAACTTGGCCGCTAACCACAATAGGCGTCGACAGGTTCTAAAAACTGTAATGCGAAACCCTTCGCTCAGAAAGTACCATACGGCCACTTGAAGACAGGTTATACAGAGTTATACAATTTTTTTTACAGAATGTGCTGAGCACCGTAGCCATCAACTACGTTGGTCATTTGCCAGATATATCATTTGAAAGTGTCAAAAGAACGATGGAACAAATCAAAGAACGTGCAAGAAGTACGGATCGTGATTCGCCTTTCTATTATTATTTACTACCAGTGGGGCAATTATAGTATTAATGAATTTCATCCTTTTCTCGAATGCGACCTAAAACCAAAGCAAACACGTCGGAGCGTTTGTCAACAAGCCTTAAAGGCAGCGATTACGATAAATTCAAGAAGGGTTTAGTGTGACGTGGTGGTGCTCAATGGTACGCCAGTGGCGAAAAAAGCAGAAAAATCCGTCAAGAAAACGCAAAACGGGACCCCTTTTTTGGCCGTTGGTTTTCACTCATGAACAGGTAACAGCTCAGAAAGTGGACGTATGAACGAGTTCACCGCAACGCGTTTGATGGCACCATGCCAAACCACGCTTTAATCGAGATGCTCCATTTGCGCCGCTGCTGGCCACGCAGCTCGTCCAAATCAACAAGTAAACTAGTGGGCGGATCGCTTTTGGGGGGGGCGGAGCGCTTTCGAAGTCCTGCTCAGCAGCACACCTTTCGTTTGGAAAGCGCCACATCTCGCTTCCCTGGCAGCCAAGTAACTGATTCGTGTGGTGCACATGCTTCCCGATGCGCTCCCTCCTTATCGTAATCGCTTCCTTTGAAATGTACAGGGTGGCCAGAAATTACGGTAACAAGATGAAGGGGTCATAGGAAATCTGTACAACTAGAAAAAGATAGGTGGGAAACAAGAACGTGTTCACTGAAGGGTAATGAATGTAAAACCATATGGTCCTTCCCAGTAGCCCCTATCCGGTTTGAAAAAAGCGCGAAGTCTTCCAGGGAATGCACTGACTGCGGCGTGTTGATGAGCGGCCCCGACCGCGTCCAGGCATTATGAAGCGGTTCCTTCAATCCCTTAACGTCACCATGATGTCAGCGGCAGGTGCTGGTCTTCCCCACTCTTCGTGAAGCGTGAACCAGTAGATTTGAATTGGGAACTCTAGGTCGCAACTTTCCAAACGCAATTATCTCTGGGCAATTCAGCTGGCAAGAACTTTGCACAAATTTTCTCGTGTGCCGGTTCAACAGAAACGTTCGATGAGGTTGCTATTTCTTCCCTTGGTTGGAGGAATTATTTGAGTGAGAAAGAAATCGAGATGGTCTTTTCTCTTCTATTTTATGTTTTGTGGAACAAAAGTCAAAAGCGACGTGATTTTCGGTTTCATCACCGTAAAAACCTTCACTGTTTCCGGACCCAGTTATGTCTGAGATATTGAACTTTGGCTTGTTTGGAATACAGTTTTGGTCGCTCTATCCATTCATGACTAATTCGACTGTGAGTACTTCCTCATCAGCGAAAAAGGTTGTCAATATGAACTGAGACAACGCCTCCGTCCAGCTCCAGCTCCTCTTCAGTTTGCTCGCCCTCATTGGAGAGCTGAGCTGTTCCAAGCTAATGTGCCTCACCCATGGGATGTCTTCTGACGATCACATGCAAAGAAGTGCACCTGGTCCCTAACACGGGAAAAAATGACCTGCTGAATGTGCTAGATTCCATCGCTGCTCAGCGCCTACTTTTTCAACATTGTTCTCAGTAACAACAAAAGCTCCTCTCCCACGTGCAATCCAATCGCTTCTAGCACCTAGCCAATTGTTCTTCGCAATAGTGGTTGTTGCAGCTTTACTGAAGATCCTGATTCGCTTTGCAACGTAACACCACCAGACATGTTGAAGAAGCAAGCGGGTCGTTATTTCATGAAGAGCTAAAGGCTTAAACAATCCAAACTAGGTAGAATCCGAGTGGTAAAATTAAAGAGTGAACATCGTATCAATAGAATCAAATGCGCAAAAGCTATACTCAAAACCCCTTTCGTTTAATCTTAGAATTGTACACGGTACGCTCTTGTTACCGTAATTTCTGGCCACCCTGTATACTACAGCATCAGCCCATGGTAATTGCGTATCGTGTTAGCGTGAGAAGAAGATAAAACCATGATTCATGGCCCAAAACCCAATACATGAAGACGCGTCTTCTCTACGCTTTGTGATTTCTGCGTTGATGCCACTCTCATCGGTGCTGCCCTCTTCAACACTAACGCTCTCTCTGCTTAACGGCAGAGACCTACGGCAGTGGTTAGCCAGTCGGTGGACGTATCCCATCGATAGCGCGGCAGGTAGGGCAAGCTAGATCGCTAGGGCATATCCTTTTCCTATCCTATCCACGCTATTTGCGTGTCGGACCGCTTTTTTTTCAGGAGATCTGCCTGTCTTGCCACTGGTAAGCTTCCCCAGCTCCGACCTTGGAATTCTCTTTTGAGAACCTAAGTTCCAAAACGCTTCAAAAAGGCGGTACCACAGTAATAATCAATGGTTAGATTGATTATTACTGTGGTATCGCCTTTTTGAAGCGGACTTTAGCACACTCTGGTAAAATCGAAGTACTGATTACAATCTCACATCTTCGGGAAGTTCAGCTAGTGATAAGACAAATGGGAAGGAATCCCCGGAAATACATAATAAACCTTTCCATCTGTTTTGTTTACTGGATGATCTACTCATTCACATTTCAATTCCTAACATAACCCTGCTTGCTTGATTTACTCCAAGCGTTATTCCAATACAATTTCAGTCATCGTCTTTTGCGTACCCGATGTTTCAATTCGAGATTTTATGCTGAATCTAATGGATGGAGGATACATGACCAACGAATACGTGTTCATCTCCGCTAATGTGAAATCAAAAGGATTCAGTAAGATTCTCATTTGAAACAAACCATACTCTAAATAATCTTTCGACTGAAGCATGAAGCATTCAGCGGTGCCGGAGGTTGGCGGTAAAGAGCGCTACTTATGGGAAGACACAGAACGAAATGATGGACGAGATGACGAGGCCAAAGAAGCGTTCATGCATCTGTTTGTAATTACTGATGTAAGTTCCATATTACAGTAATAATCGCACGGTCGTACCCTTTTCTTCAAAAAACCAGAAGCGTGTCGAGTGCAGACACACACCACAAGTGACGACGGCCTCCAAGTAAATCTGGTTACTAGTGATTCATAGTGATAGCTGATAGTTGGTAAATGAGTTGTAATTAGTGACAACTGATAGAATACAACTGCAACAGGCTAATCATTTCATTGGCAGAAAACATTTTGTGAGGCCGTCGTCACTTGTGGTGTGTGGTCTGCACTCGACGCGCTTCTGGTTTTCCATAGCAGAGTATACCAAAATGGCCCCACGTGATAGTACGTGCACCACGCAGCTCTTGTGTCGCAAAAGGCAATTTCTCAACCTGAATTTTACACACATACCCTCTGCTTCCGAAAACCAGATACGCGTCGAGTGCAGACCACACACCATAATTGACGACAGGCCTCCACAAAATGTGAAATGTTTTCTGCCAATGAAATGATTAGCAGTTGTATTCTATCAGTTGTCGCTAGCTGCAACTTTCATTTACGACTGTCAGCTATCACGAGCCACTAGTA